TAGTAGATCAAACTATGGAGGTACGTATCTGTAGTAGATCAAGTTATTGAGGTACGTAACCGTAGTAGATCAAGATAAGGAGGTATGTATCCGTAGTAGATCAAGCAATAGAGGTACGTATCGTAGATCAAATTATGGAGGTACGTATCCGTAGTAGATAAAACTATGGAGGTACGTATCCGTAGTAGATCTAGCAATTGAGGTACGTATCCATAGTAGATCAAACTATGGAGGTACGTATCTGTAGTAGATCAAGTTATTGAGGTACGTAACCGTAGTAGATCAAGATAAGGAGGTACGTATCCATAGTAGATCAAGCAATAGAGGTACGTATCGTAGATCAAATTATGGAGGTACGTATCCGTAGTAGATAAAACTATGGAGGTACGTATCCGTAGTAGATCAAGCTATGGAGGTACGTATCCGTAGTAGATCTAGCAATTGAGGTACGTATCCATAGTAGATCAAACTATGGAGGTACGTATTTGTAGTAGATCAAACTATGGAGTTACGTATCTGTAGTAGATCAAGTTATTGAGGTACGTAACCGTAGTAGATCAATATAAGGAGGTACGTATCCGTAGTAGATCAAGCAATAGAGGTACGTATCGTAGATCAAATTATGGAGGTACGTATCCGTAGTAGATAAAACTATGGAGGTACGTATCCGTAGTAGATCAAACTATGGAGGTACGTATCCGTAGAAGATCAAGCTATGGAGGTACGTATCCGTAGTAGATCTAGCAATAGAGGTACGTATCCGTAGAAGATCAAGCTATGGAGGTACGTATCCGTAGTAGATCTAGCAATAGAGGTACGTATCCGTAGAAGATCAAGCTATGGAGGTACGTATCCGTAGTAGATCTAGCAATAGAGGTACGTATCCGTAGAAGATCAAGCTATGGAGGTACGTATCCGTAGTAGATCTAGCAATAGAGGTACGTATCCGTAGAAGATCAAGCTATGGAGGTACGTATCCGTAGTAGATCTAGCAATAGAGGTACGTATCCGTAGAAGATCAAGCTATGGAGGTACGTATCCGTAGTAGATCTAGCAATAGAGGTACGTATCCGTAGAAGATCAAGCTATGGAGGTACGTATCCGTAGTAGATCTAGCAATAGAGGTACGTATCCGTAGAAGATCAAGCTATGGAGGTACGTATCCGTAGTAGATCTAGCAATAGAGGTACGTATCCGTAGAAGATCAAGCTATGGAGGTACGTATCCGTAGTAGATCTAGCAATAGAGGTACGTATCCGTAGAAGATCAAGCTATGGAGGTACGTATCCGTAGTAGATCTAGCAATAGAGGTACGTATCCGTAGAAGATCAAGCTATGGAGGTACGTATCCGTAGTAGATCTAGCAATAGAGGTACGTATCCGTAGAAGATCAAGCTATGGAGGTACGTATCCGTAGTAGATCTAGCAATAGAGGTACGTATCCGTAGAAGATCAAGCTATGGAGGTACGTATCCGTAGTAGATCTAGCAATAGAGGTACGTATCCGTAGAAGATCAAGCTATGGAGGTACGTATCCGTAGTAGATCTAGCAATAGAGGTACGTATCCGTAGAAGATCAAGCTATGGAGGTACGTATCCGTAGAAGATCTAGCAATAGAGGTACGTATCCGTAGAAGATCAAGCTATGGAGGTACGTATCCGTAGTAGATCTAGCAATAGAGGTACGTATCCGTAGAAGATCAAGCTATGGAGGTACGTATCCGTAGAAGATCTAGCAATAGAGGTACGTATCCGTAGAAGATCAAGCTATGGAGGTACGTATCCGTAGTAGATCTAGCAATAGAGGTACGTATCCGTAGAAGATCAAGCTATGGAGGTACGTATCCGTAGAAGATCTAGCAATAGAGGTACGTATCCGTAGAAGATCAAGCTATGGAGGTACGTATCCGTAGTAGATCTAGCAATAGAGGTACGTATCCGTAGAAGATCAAGCTATGGAGGTACGTATCCGTAGTAGATCTAGCAATAGAGGTACGTATCCGTAGAAGATCAAGCTATGGAGGTACGTATCCGTAGTAGATCTAGCAATTGAGGTACGTATCCATAGTAGATCAAACTATGGAGGTACGTATTTGTAGTAGATCAAACTATGGAGGTACGTATCTGTAGTAGATCAAGTTATTGAGGTACGTAACCGTAGTAGATCAATATAAGGAGGTACGTATCCGTAGTAGATCAAGCAATAGAGGTACGTATCCGTAGTAGATCAAACTATGGAGGTACGTATCCGTAGTAGATCAAACTATGGAGGTACGTATTCTTATTGAGATCCTTTATTTCGTTACTCCAGAAAGTGACTTGTGGACTGTAAATTTGATTGGTTCTGTTGTTATTTCAGTCTAAATCCGCCTACAACCGAGGAGATGTGGCCATGGCGCACGCTCATGCCAACTCCAGCAGACAACTGGCCAATTTTGCCATCGGGTTTGGGACCTGCTCGATCATCGCCGCCTTTATCTACGTCGTCGTTCTTTATTCTGTGATACTGTAGGTATACGAAGTGTCTTGCCGGACATGCACATTGACATGTACAAGGATTCAAACTTACAGTATTCGGATAGACTGTGATTCTATTTGTGCCATATAATCGGAGTTAAATCATTTGGAACACAAATGTAGGCAACCCCGCATCCTTTAGTTCTCAATGTTATTTTTAACCTGACAATATATTGATCGTCTCGGCCGGCCATTCCAGAAAGTTCCAAGCAACTTGAATACAAACCAAAAATCCCTTAATTATGAAAAGAGAAATAGTATGAAGTGAAAGAGTCTGTTATCACAAAACGTAATGTTTATGACGTCATTCTGTAATCACAAACGCTGTAGAAGGTGTTTTGATCAGATTCTTGTAACACAACCAATAAGTGTTTCGATGTGACATTTCGATGACTAGTACGGTACTCTATGACCTTAATCGGACTAATGACCAGTGAAGCGTATGCAGACAAAGGTGTAAAATATGTCCGAGTTGTCCACAAATCGATGTCGATTAGGCTACGCTGTAAGCGTATGTACAATAGTTTTTATATATATGTACCGACATGACTCAATTCAGCTATGCTTTGTTTAATACTTTGTCATAGATGTGGTAGAGTATGTGAGCCCCTCATCTCGATATAGAACTGGCCCACTGCGGCGTATCCAGATGGCTTCCGTTATCTGCCGCGTGAACAGATCGCTCTTTCACTCCAATACTTTGGAGTTATCCCAGTCAATCACATGATTTTTCTGTGTGGCATGGTCTGTGATTGCCGATTTATTTATATGGGATTCCGACAGCTTCCTTTCTGATTAGGCGAATTTCTTTCCTTCATTGGTGTCCGTATCCGTATGACCAAACTGGCCACATTGAGAGACACTGGACTACCTATAGCAGTGCCGAAGTGTTGCTGATAGATGCTGTCTCGGCACTAAATCCATTTTTTCCTGAATCCGGAGGTTTGTGTTCTTACGCCAGGATCTGTCTAATTCTAAGCGTTTCCGAATGATTCAAAGAGCATCGTAAATTGGGTGTGTTGGTAAATAGAGAGACAACATCATGTAAAATGAATTCTTCTTCTTCCCTTATTGTGATAGTAGACATAGCTTCCGCTAGATGTTTCGAGTTCTTGACAGGGTGTTCCGATTTACCCACTAGCGGTCCAAGAATGACTGCTAAAGATCTGGAAACGTTGTAACCAATGGATCCAGTGTAGTCCACAATAGGCCTCAGTGGGTTCCCTGCTTTTGGATCTTGGGTGTACAGTACATTCTAGGAGTGTCCCCTGCTTGTGGATCTTGGGTGTACAGTACATTCTAGGAGTGTTCCCTGCTTGTGGATCTTGGGTGTACAGTACATTCTAGGAGTGTTCCCTGCTTGTGGATCTTGGGTGTACAGTACAATCTAGGAGTGTTCTCTGTCGTGGGATACAGATATCTGTATTGGCCTTCGGTAATCTTCCTATCTTGTTTCACAATTTACACCTTTGTGTAGATACGCTTCACTGGTCAGTTGTCTGATGGAGGTGACAGAGTACATACCATACTAGTCATCGAAACGCCACATACAATGTATAAACACCCATTTGTTGTGTAACAATAATCTTTTCATAATCCATACTAACCGACCTAAAGTAAATGGTCATTTGTACGATGGAGGTGACAGAGTACATACCGTACTAGTAATCGAAACGTCATATAACAAACACTTGTTGGTTGTATCAAAAGAATCGTTTCATAATCCATACTTACCAACCTGAAGGAAATGTTTAGAAATATCTGTGATAGGTGTTTGTTACGTCATAAACACGTCATGCAGACTATGATCGAATAATCATCTTGTTCATCTTCTGACAACCATGACTAATGTTTTACCCGAGACATTTCTCTCCAAAGATGTTGGTGATTAAATCAACTATTGTGGTGCATACATAATTTGGTTAATGCTTCTGATTTCAAACATAATTTGTATTTTTTCACAATCCTAATGACATCTCGAATTCTATTTTTGATAATTCAGATTATATATGAAAAATAAAAAATAAATTCTTTATAAGATTATTATTATTATTATTACAGTTTCGTTGTCTGTCGGGAAATGTTTTTTTACCACAAAATTGTAAAACAATAGTACGATATCATCCTGTAAAAAAAGAACACAACAAATAGTTAGCTATCATCCTGTAAACATTGTCATCTACAACAAACATTACGATATCATCCTGTAAACATTGTCACCCACAACAAACAGCACAATATCATCCTGTAAATATTATCATCAACAAGAAATAGTACGATATCATCCTGTAAACATTGTCATCAGCAACAAATAGTACGATATCATCCTGTAAATATTGTCATCAGCAACAGATAGTACAATATCATCCTGTAAATATTGTCATCTACAGCAAATAGTACGATATAATCCTGTAAATATTATCATCCACAACAAATAGTACGATATCATCCTGTAAACATTGTCATCAGCAACAAATAGTACGATATCATCCTGTAAATATTGTCATCAGCAACAGATAGTACAATATCATCCTGTAAATATTGTCATCTACAGCAAATAGTACGATATCATCCTGTAAATATTATCATCTACAACAAACAGTACGATATAATCCTGTAAATATTATCATCTACAACAAACAGTACGATATCATCCTGTAAATATTATCATCTACAACAAACAGTACGATATAATCCTGTAAATATTATCATCTACAACAAACAGTACGATATCATCCTGTAAATATTATCATCTACAACAAACAGTACGATATAATCCTGTAAATATTATCATCTACAACAAACAGTACGATATCATCCTGTAAATATTATCATCTACAACAAACAGTACGATATAATCCTGTAAATATTATCATCTACAACAAACAGTACGATATCATCCTGTAAATATTATCATCTACAACAAACAGTACGATATAATCCTGTAAATATTATCATCTACAACAAACAGTACGATATCATCCTGTAAATATTATCATCTACAACAAACAGTACGATATAATCCTGTAAATATTATCATCTACAACAAACAGTACGATATCATCCTGTAAATATTATCATCTACAACAAACAGTACGATATAATCCTGTAAATATTATCATCTACAACAAACAGTACGATATCATCCTGTAAATATTATCATCTACAACAAACAGTACGATATAATCCTGTAAATATTATCATCTACAACAAACAGTACGATATCATCCTGTAAATATTATCATCTACAACAAACAGTACGATATAATCCTGTAAATATTATCATCTACAACAAACAGTACGATATCATCCTGTAAATATTATCATCTACAACAAACAGTACGATATAATCCTGTAAATATTATCATCTACAACAAACAGTACGATATCATCCTGTAAATATTATCATCTACAACAAACAGTACGATATAATCCTGTAAATATTATCATCTACAACAAACAGTACGATATCATCCTGTAAATATTATCATCTACAACAAACAGTACGATATAATCCTGTAAATATTATCATCTACAACAAACAGTACGATATCATCCTGTAAATATTATCATCTACAACAAACAGTACGATATAATCCTGTAAATATTATCATCTACAACAAACAGTACGATATCATCCTGTAAATATTATCATCTACAACAAACAGTACGATATAATCCTGTAAATATTATCATCTACAACAAACAGTACGATATCATCCTGTAAATATTATCATCTACAACAAACAGTACGATATAATCCTGTAAATATTATCATCTACAACAAACAGTACGATATCATCCTGTAAATATTATCATCTACAACAAACAGTACGATATAATCCTGTAAATATTATCATCTACAACAAACAGTACGATATCATCCTGTAAATATTATCATCTACAACAAACAGTACGATATAATCCTGTAAATATTATCATCTACAACAAACAGTACGATATCATCCTGTAAATATTATCATCTACAACAAACAGTACGATATCATCCTGTAAATATTATCATCTACAACAAACAGTACGATATAATCCTGTAAATATTATCATCTACAACAAACAGTACGATATCATCCTGTAAATATTATCATCTACAACAAACAGTACGATATAATCCTGTAAATATTATCATCTACAACAAACAGTACGATATCATCCTGTAAATATTATCATCTACAACAAACAGTACGATATAATCCTGTAAATATTATCATCTACAACAAACAGTACGATATCATCCTGTAAATATTATCATCTACAACAAACAGTACGATATAATCCTGTAAATATTATCATCTACAACAAACAGTACGATATCATCCTGTAAATATTATCATCTACAACAAACAGTACGATATAATCCTGTAAATATTATCATCTACAACAAACAGTACGATATCATCCTGTAAATATTATCATCTACAACAAACAGTACGATATAATCCTGTAAATATTATCATCTACAACAAACAGTACGATATCATCCTGTAAATATTATCATCTACAACAAACAGTACGATATAATCCTGTAAATATTATCATCTACAACAAACAGTACGATATCATCCTGTAAATATTATCATCTACAACAAACAGTACGATATAATCCTGTAAATATTATCATCTACAACAAACAGTACGATATAATCCTGTAAATATTGTCATCCACAACAAACAGTACGATATCATTCTGTAAATATTGTCATCAACAACAAATAGTACGATATCATCCTGTAAATATTGTCATCTACAACAAACAGTACGATACCATCCTGTTAATATTGTCATCAACAACAAATAGTTAGATATCATCCTGTAGATATTGTCATCCACAACAAACAGTACGATACCATCCTGTAAAAAATGTCATCTATAACAAATAGTATGATATAATCCTGTAGATATTGTCATCCACAACAAATAGTACGATACCATTCTGTAAATATTGTCATCAACAACAAGTAGTACAATATCATCCTGTAAATATTGTCATCAACAACAAACAGTACAATATCATCCTGTAAATATTGTCATCAACAACAAATAGTTAGATATCATCCTGTAAATATTGTCATCCACAACAAACAGTACGATACCATCCTGTAAAAAATGTCATCTATAACAAATAGTACGATATAATCCTGTAGATATTGTCATCCACAACAAATAGTATGATATAATCCTGTAAATATTGTCATCCACAACAAATATAACGATATCATCCTGTAAATATTGTCATCAACAACAAACAGTACGATATAATCCTGTAAATATTGTCATCAACAACAAACAGTACGATATAATCCTGTAAATATTGTCATCAACAACAAACAGTACGATATAATCCTGTAAATATTGTCATCAACAACAAACAGTACGATATAATCCTGTAAATATTGTCATCAACAACAAACAGTACGATATAATCCTGTAAATATTGTCATCAACAACAAACAGTACGATATAATCCTGTAAATATTGTCATCA